CGAGGCGACCCGGATGCCATGGACACCGACTCGGATCCCGCGCCCCTCAACATTCTCTACGCTTCCGGGCCGTACACGGCGGACGACAACCTCGACTTTGAACCGCTGCACGCCCTGTGCGACCAAGCCGCCGACACGTACGCGGACGCGCTGGTGCTGACGGGGCCCTTTATCGACAGCGAGCACCCTTTGATTGCGATGGGCGACTTTGATCTCCCCGAGGAAGCCGTCATCGAGCCGGACACGGCCACGATGTCGACCGTCTTCAAGTACATGTTCTCCCCGGCCCTGAACCGCCTCGTGTCCGCCAACCCGAGCATCACCATCCTCCTCGTCCCTTCAGTGCGCGACGTCATCGACAAGCACGTCTCGTGGCCGCAGGACTCGGTCCTGAAGAAGGAGCTCGGCCTCCCCAAGACGGCGAGGATCGTCACCAACCCGATGACGCTGTCCGTTAACGAGATGGTCATGGGCATCTCGTCGCAGGATATTCTCTGGCAGCTGCGGCACGAGGAGCTCGTTGGCGGCCGCCCCGCGGATCCGTCGCTGTTGTCGAGGCTTAGCAGGTATCTGTTGGAGCAGAGGCACTTTTTCCCGCTCTTCCCCCCGACGGACCGCCAGAAACTGCCCAAGACGGGGACCGAAGAGGGCATCCCGCCAGGAGCCATGCTGGATCTTAGTTATTTGAAGCTGGGCGAGATGGTCAATGTTCGCCCTGATGTGCTGGTGGCGCCCAGCTTTCTGCCTCCGTTTGCCAAGGTGAGTCCTGCCGACACTTCACTGTAGTACTCCACTGACAAGAGCAGGTCGTCGAGAGTGTGCTCGTGATCAACCCGGGCTACCTCTCCAAGAGACGCGGCGCCGGCACGTACGCCCGCCTGACGCTGTTCCCTCCCAAGGCCGACGCGGGCCAGTCCGCGGCCATGGTGAGCCACGGCGTGTTTGAGCGCGCGAGAGTGGAGATTAGAAAGATTTGAAGCGCACCTGTATGACGTTTACGATGGCAAAGGGTTTTCTTTCAGGGCCTCGGAGTTTGGTTGGGAGGCTATATTCAGCATGCGCTCGTAGTGAGCCTGGTCAGGATACGCTTCTTAGTACATTTTGAAATGACGACCATTGGTGTTTATCTAGAGTCCACGCGCCTCCGCTTGTCGCTGTCGTAGCGCTCTCTCTCGCGTGACGGGCTGCGCTTCCGCCTGTCCCTGTAGTCGTCCCTGTCTCTGCGCCGGTCGTCTCTGTCGCCTCCGCGCCGGTCATCATCGCGATACCTATCACGATCACCTCTACCACCACCTGAAGGCGCCTTGCGGTCACCCAAGGGGATAGCGTTCGCACCGTTGACCTCGCGGTCGTTGTCCGGCCGGAACCGCTCGTCCACATCCCTGTCGAAGCCGCCTCTCCTCCGGTCACCACTCCCGCCACGCCGGTCATCAAACTCGCCCCATCGTCCCGTATCTTCGCTCTTGAGATCCTTGTACTTTGTCCCGCCCTTGCGTCCCAGCTTCGTCATGTCGCGCTTCTGCAGATACTCCGGCAGCGCGCTGCGGTCCTTGACATCGTCCGCGATACGCATGCCCATGAGATCGCGCTTATCAAGACCGTACGCCTTGGCCTCCTCGCTATAGAATGCGCCCTTGTGGTAGTACTTTTGCAGATACGACATTTTGCCCTTGGCGTCCTTTTCGTCCTGCTGCGCGGCAATCTTGTCCGCGTCCTCGGCGTCGCGCTCTTCTTGTGTGAGGTTCTGCCTTCTCTCGCGCTCAGCGTACTCTGCTTCTTGCTCGGCGATGCGGTCGCGCTCGCGTTTGACGCGTTTAAGCTCGCGGAGGCGCCAAGCTGCGAGTTCGGCCTCCGGGTCGAGATCGTCTGTCGTGTCGACGTCGGAGCCTGAGGCCTCGTCGTCGTCCCAGTGTTTCTTGCCGGCGGCGCGGGCGGCGAGGTCCTTTGCGATTTGTTCTTCGACGAGGGCGTCGGCGGCGGCTTTGCGGCGGGCTTCTTCTTCTGCCTGGCGCGTCTCGTCGTCTTTGGGGGCCGGGGTGGAGGACTGTCCTCCCTTGGCGGCGTTGCGCTGGTTCTTTGGGATGAATTTGGGTCGAATCATGAGACGGCGGGGGGCTTCTTCTTCGCTGCTGCTTTCCTCCTCGCTGGAGCTCTCTTCTTCGTCACCCTCTTCATCTTCTCCCTCTTCCTCCTCCTCTTCCGTGACGAAACCCTCTTCCGCGGCGAGCCGCTCCGCCTTTTCACGCGCTATCCTCTGGTTCTCTTTATCCTGTGCCTCGCGCCTCCGCTCGTCGAGGTTGACTTTGCTGAGGTTGCTGGCGATCTTGGCGGCGCTCGATGCCTTTGGCGGCGGCTTGATCGCGCGGGCCTTGGTCGTGTCGTCGTTTGCCCTTTCTTCGTCATCGCTCGCGTCCGAGTCTGATGAATCCTCTTGGGGGACAGCCTTGCCGGGGAAGTAGCGTCCCGGCTTGACCGGGTTCGCGGTCATGCGCTTGGGTGGCATCTTGTGGTTGTGTGGATGTCGTGGATGGTGAATTGGATGACGTCCGGCAGAAAATCGAGGCTGCAAGGTACGGTACCTCAGGTCCCCTGGCGGAGGGACGGAACTGCACAAGTGTTTCCCCGCTGGGTGGCCCTGTAAGTTTAGCGTTTTTAGTGGACCTGGCGCTGTCGCAGAGCTTTTGGCCCCTCCAAGACGTCCAAGGAGGCTTAACAGAAATGGGCACGCACTTTGCGTCAGGGCTAAAGTTTCGAGGACCTGCATGCAGAATGGTCATCATTGGGTATCTATCATGAGTCTCATAGCCCGAGGACCACCTCTCGGGGCAACCTGAACCGAAACTGACAACGGACTACAAAATCTCCTCGTCAAAATCGTCGTTTGCCGGGGGAGGTGCCGACACAGCAGCAGCTGGCGCAGGCGCAGCGACATCATCATCAGCGCCGTCCATCTCCTCGTCCGTCTCCCAGCCCTTGCCAGCAGCCACCTCGACAGTCCTGCTCTTCGTCTGCCTCTGCTCCGCCTCGGAATCCTCCTCGTCGGGGAACCTCTTGGCCGCAATAGCACCCTTGTTGATGTCCTCCCACTGCTTGCTCCGCGTCTGGACCCTCCGCGCCCTGTCTTTGCTCTTCTCCGTCTTGGTCGAGGTCCGCCCCATGATGGCCTCGGCGCGGTCCGCCGCCTTTTCCTTCCTCTCCTTGGCCTTGGCGCTCATCTGCGCCTTGCGGTTCTTGGTCTTCTTGGACACGCCAGAGTTGTGCTGGGCATTGAGGACCGACGGCCGGAAGTCGGTCGCGGCGGCCGGGGCCTTGACTTCCTTGAGAGACTTGTCGGTGTCGATGTCGACGTCCGTCGCCCGCCTTGCGGCTCTCGAGTGGAGCGAGGGTTCTGCTTGTGTTAGCAGGTCACTGTAAAACAGAGGCAATCGTCTTACGTCTGTTCTTCTTGGATGCGCCCGGTTTCGCCATCTTTGCGATCAATGTATCGAGTTCTGTGGTGTAGACTGCACCGCCAGACTCGCCGCGGTGTGGGGGATATAAAATTCCTTATCGACATGCATGCTATCTTATCGCGATAGGCGGGGCGATCACAAGCCTTGGGACCGCGCTCTGACCAATCCTTGTCGCAGCGTTGCCCCTGTGGAACCCCTGGTCCCGCTCAACTTTGGCATCTTTCCTTCTAGCACTGCCGCGACATCTCAACACCATCCGTGCAGACATTCCAGAGCCTTACTCACGCACAACCACGTAATCAGCGAGCATCGCCACGACTGGACACCTCTCGAATCGCCCTCTCGACATGGCAGCGCGTGGTCTCTCCGATACAGCATTGCAGAAGCTCGCCTGAAGCTCCCACTTCCACAAGCACCCGTAACACAGCACTATGAATTCTCCGGCATTCAAGCACTCCTACGGCGGATCCGACTACCACCGACGACTTCACGCCGACGAGACCATTTGGACGAGGCTGACGGAGCCGAGCGTCGTCGTGTCCCTCTTTGCCCTCGTCCTCACAGCGCTCGTCTCTGTTTTCGGCGCTTCCCTTCCGACCACCTTACTCTCGCACGCCTCTCGGACCCTCTGGGACGTAATCGTCTGGCTTATCCCCCACGACGCCTTGACCCTTCTGGAAGCCTGGCTGCATCCGCCGCTCGTTCCGCGACCGATGCTCCAGAACCAAGCCAGAACACATGCGGCCAAGAGTGCGCTTCTGAAAAAGATTCTCGGCATGGATAGACAGGGAGGCATCATGGGGACGGTCTCGCAAGCCGGCATTCGAGGGCTGTCGTCCGTCTCCGGCGCCATGATGAGCCTCAAGGGCTCCAGCAACTACCCGCCGGGCCTAGGGAACCTCGACAACTCGTGCTACCAGAACAGCATCCTCCAAGGACTCGCCTCACTCAAGCCGTTTCCAAAGTACCTGGCCGACCCTGTCCAGCACCCCGAGATCGACCGCCGCAAAGTCGAGGCCGTCGACACGCTGCGGAACCTGATTGAGGACCTCAACAGCGCGAGCAACTATGGCAAGACGTTGTGGACGCCAGGCTCGCTCAAGAACATGAGCACGTGGCAGCAGCAGGATGCGCAGGAATACTTTTCAAAGCTGCTCGACGAGGTGGACAGGGAGATTGCAAAGGTGGCCAAGGCGACCATCAAGGCGTCGGGCTTCGAGACGGATTGCGCCAGCGACGACACCGCCACGAGCCAGCACAGCGACGACAGCGGCTACCAGAGTCTGTCGACGGCCTCCAAGATCAGCGCGGCTTCCAAGTCCCTGAGGAACCCCCTCGAGGGGCTCATCGCTCAGCGGGTGGCCTGCGTCGAGTGTGGACACTCTGACGGGCTCTCCATGATTCCCTTCAACTGCCTCACGCTGAGTTTGAATGTGGGCGGCAACGATCACGACCTGTACGAGCTGCTGGACGCATACGCCCATATTGAGTCGATCGAGGGCGTCGAGTGTGGAAAGTGCACGCTCTTGAAAGCCAAGAGATTGCTGACCCTCCTCGTCGAGAGGGCGGAAGCGTCGTACACTGACGAGCAGAAGCTCAAGGAGCCAAAGTCGCGGCTGGCGGCCGTCGAGGAGGCGCTGGAAGAGGACGATTTCGAGGACAAGACGCTCACGGAAAAGTGCAAGTTCCCTTCAAACTTCAAAGTCTCGTCAACAAAGACGAAACAGGCCGTCATTGCGCGCCCGCCGCAGAGTCTCGCCGTCCACATGAACAGGTCCGTGTTTGACGAGAACACTGGCATGATGTACAAGAACTCGTCGGGCATTCGATTTCCCCTGACGTTGGACCTAGGTCCGTGGTGTTTGGGCAGTGCCAGCAAGACGAGTTCCACTGACGGCTTGGAGGAAGAGGAGCAGTGGCTGTTGGATCCAAGGTCCTCTATGATTGCTGGCGACAAGCGCAAGTCATACATTACCGGGCCGATATACGAGCTGCGGGCCGTCGTCACGCACTATGGCCGCCACGAAAACGGGCACTACGTCTGCTACCGCAAGTTCCCTCGACACTCGCCGCCGAGTGATGGCGAGGAGGTTGTGTCGCCCAAATCGGAGACTCTGGACGACGACCCCGATGCGGAGATGGACTGGTGGCGCCTCAGCGATGACACGCTCCGCAAGGTTGACGAAGAGGAGCTGCTGGCGCAGGGTAACGTCTTTATGCTATTCTACGATTGTGTCGACCCAAACATTATCCCTTCGTCCGAGGTTGCTGCTGTAGAGGCTGTCCAGGATGCAGACGCCATGGACGGAGAGAACGAGGAGACGCCAAAAGTGGAGAAGCCCGCCTTTACCTGCACGGTGAAGGAGGTATCGGCGGATGACGACGATAACGAGATGCCGGTGGCCGGCACTATGGTGGCGGTCGCCGAGGGAGACGTCTCGCAGGCGCGGTCTGTGCCACTGCCGGGGGGTGGAGACGATGAGTTGGGAGAGAACCAGACCGAGCGAGGACCGCAGATGATTGCCGTCTGATGGGTTCTGTGTAAGAAACATTTTTGCTCTTGGTTGTTTTATAGCATAGCGATAGGCGTTGGGATTCCGCGGTAATACCATGCGCTCGCGGCGCGGATACTGAGCTGGGGGATGCTCTGGCTACTAGGGTCACGGGATCGGATAATGGCATAGTTAATTCACTGCATATTAAACGTGAAGGCCGTGTCATGATGCTGAAGCATATGCGATGAACGTAGGCGTCTTTTAATCAGAGGGAATCCTTCGCAAACCACCCTCCTCCATCTCTCCAGGCCAGAAGTCATTCTCGGCCAGTAGGACCTCCCTCCACGTCCGCTGAGCCCGATCCAGCTCGTCCCTGACGGCCTCCTCGCCGTGTAGTCGGACCGCGTCGTCGACGCCGTCGTCAATGATGGCGGCTAGCTCGTCTACGAAGGCTCTGAAGGCCGGGCTGCTCCAGTTGGGGATGAATTCTGTTCGCAGGGCGCCGCCGTCCAAGTCGGTGTTGGTGTCTGTGTCTTGGCCAGAGGTGCCAGAGGCAGATGTAGCAGAGCCAGACGAAGGAAGCATGTCCTTGGCACCGGACCACGCTTCGAGGTAGCACTTCTCTGTCGCCCAGAAGAGGACGGCGGGGGCGAGCCAGGGGAGAAGGACACCGTGAGGGAGAGTGGTGGCGATGGAGGTGAAGAGGCGTTCGAAGGCGAGGAGGCCTGCGTTTTTGTCTTCGTCCTTCACCCGCCGGTCACTACGACTGCCACTCTCGGAAGCTGGAGTGGACCCAGTGGGCAAGTTGACGTCGATACCGAAGCGGGCGGCGACGTCGATGAAGAATTTCTCCTCGCGGCGGACGTTGACGAGCGCGTCGATGAGCCAGCTGAGGAGTCTTTCTGTCACGGGTTTCGTCTCAGGGGCTGAGGTATCGTCACCGGCGTCGTGACCAGAGACATCGTGACGGGAAGAAGACTCAACGACATCCGGGAGGTCCAGCAGAGCGAGGAACCGCCCTGCGCCTTTGATGTAGGCGTGGATGTAGAGCCTGTCGTTTGCGAGCCAGCGGCCGAGGATCGGTTTGGGCACTTGGCCGCGCGCGGCGGCGGCGAGAAAGGTCGCTGTTGTGGAGGCGCGGTAGAGGGTTTTGTGGCTGGTTAGGAGGTTGGTTGTGAAGTTCATCTTGAAAGACTGGCCTTGAGACTTGCAGATGTAAAGCTTGGTTGGGTCACTTTTGTCTCTGGATGCCGTTAAGGAAAGGGGCTTCTTTCGAAGCGCGCGATTTCAATGACACGCCGATCTGCGAGAGACGGGCGGTCGTTGGGTTGGATCTCCATAGTTTAGTAAGCCTTGGCTGCAGGTTACGAACCTTGTGATAGGTCAATGGATGGTGATGTTGCTCCTCACCGGCAAACGCTACTTCGTCATGCGGGTTCAGAGACGAGGGGCACGTCGTTCAGATCATGTATTCTAAAGCTGTGCCTATGATGCATGCTGCTCATGATATACAATATTACAACACCGGGCGGCCTAGACCCAAAGACCCCCAAAAGCCTGCGCGTTCCAAAACTTCAACATCAACCCTACCCCGAATCCATGATTTTCTGATCCCAATGTTCTCTTTGTACACAACGCGCTATCCCAAAACTCCAGGCTTTGATGATGGAAAAAGGAAAAAAAAAAAAAGTACAACACATCTAGGCGCTGACGGCGCCCACCTTGGCAAACCAGTCCGCCGGCGCAGCGGCGCCCTTGTAGGCGAAGCCCATGACGACCATGAGGGTGGTGAGGGTGAGCAAGCCAAAGAAGATGGCGCGGCGGAGGAGAGGGGAAAGGCGGCCTTCGTCGAGGGCGTGTGAGTTCCAGACGCCGCGGGACCACGCGACGGCGCCGGCGCTCGAGGCCTTGAGCTGGTCCCAGCCGGTGGAGTAGATGACGAGGCCGAACAGGGCGATGGCGTAGCCGATGAACTGCAGGGCCGTGATGCTGGTGTGCCAGATGAGGACGGAGACGACGATGAGGAGGATGTTCTTGAGGATGCCGGTGAGGGTCATGACGAGGCCTGACGTCTTGCCGATCTGCTTTCTGTCAGTAGGGGTCGATGAAGTATAGAGACGGCACTTACGAGGAAGACGCTGGAGATATTGAGGGCAAAGGCGACGCTGGCGTTGAGGAGCAGCATGGTGAAGCCGACCTTGTTAAAGTCCTCGACGTTGAACTTGCCAAACTCGCTGAACCAGGCGACGAAGAAGTTCATGACGGCGCAGACGGGGGCGTAGTAGTAGAGGCTGACGAGGGGGTCCATCTTTTGGGCGTTCTCGTCGCCTTTCAGCAAGACCTGGATCATGACGAGGCGGATGGCCTCGAAGATGATGCCGCCCATCTGGAAGATGAAGCCGATCCAGGAGAACTCGATTTCGCCAAAGGAGGCGAGACCGACGCCGCCGACGATGAGGAGGATGTTGTAGAACGTCTTCATGGAGGGGTCGGCGACGCCCCAAATCCAGCTGGTGAAGAGGACGGCGACGGGGGCGGCGGCCTTGAGCATCTGGATGAAGGAGACGGAGAGGTAGAGGTAGACGAGGTTGGAACAGACGAGGGAGCCCGAGTAGAGGACGCCGATGGGCATGATGGCGCGCAGGTAGACGCGGCCCGTCATCTTGACCTTGTGGCGGCCATCGAGGAGGGAGGTGAAGCGCGCCAGCACCTGGGTTGCCAGAGTGGAGAAGACGAGGTGCCAAAAGGTGAGGATCACGGCTGGAGCATGTTAGTGGGGAGCAGTGAGGGTCAGTTGGTGAGACGTACGGTATTCTGTGGGTGGTTAGTGATGGTCAACATGATGAGGGGCGGGAGGTGCTTACTGAAGCCGGCTGTGTCAAGCAGCCACTTGTTGAAGAGGATGGTCAAGTTGGAGAAGAAAATCCAGCTCCTGTGGGAGTGTTAGCGAGGTCCGGCGAGGCTGAGAACGGATACGCACGCGATGAAGAAGGCTGGGTGAAGAGCCTTGGAGCCCACGGGCTTCTCGGTGGTCGGCAGCTCGCTCATGGTTGCGTTACGCGGTGATGGTGTTGTGACAGGGGTGGAAACAAGCAACGAAGTCAAGAGCCAAGCGACGGATGATCGGAGGGTACGGCGACGGAGACGGCGGTGGACGACGGGACTGGAGTCGGTGGTGGGCCGGGTTCGTCGGGGGGAAGGAAAGGATGGGGGTTGTTGCGTCAGACAGAAGGCATGAGAGATGCAGTGCAGCGACGCGACAGAGAAGCGACAAGGAAAGACGAGAAGAAAAGATGGAGGAGACGAGGATGCAAATGCGAACCACCTTGCAGGTCAACAAGGTGACAAAAGGCGAGAGCGAGAGTGGCACGGAGAGAAACGAAGGAAGAAAAGTGAAGACTGCAAGGTGTGTGGCGGCAGGCGGATGTTTGAAGCGCTGCGCCGTTTGCTGGACTGGTGCCTGGTAACTCAAGGGCCTTTGGAAAGCCGAATGTCAATGAGCCCCCTTCCGCAGCGGGCTTTCTCGTATTTTCTGCTGGCCGCAATGTACCTGGCGATGGTACGAAATAGGACGGCACCTTATTGGACTGGGCTGACCACTGGTCGTAGCTGGGCCTGAAAAAGGCTGGCGGAGAAGGGGGGCTTTGGGGAGGAGGCGCTAAAGTCGGGCGGCCGGCACGTGGAGGGAGTGACCCCTGTCTTTTGTCTTTAGTTGGTTGCCGGTTGGTTGGGGTGTTGGAGTTGCGAGAGTTGACGTTGGTTGCAGTCTGGCAGTTTGGAGATGTGGGTTGCGGTATGGTTCCTGGCAGTTGCAGAGTAGATGGAGCTATAGATGCCACAATCACGGCTGGTTCACTGAACGAGTTGCTGATTGTCCGGAGAGATGCTGTGTCCGGATGGATGTGGTCGGTCCTTGGTCCTTGGACTGTACTTCGCAGAGGTAGACCGCAGAGAAGACTCGAAAGAGCAACGTGTCGTGCAAAGGAATTTACAAATGAACCTTGTGGCAGGCAATTTGCCTCGAGGCTTTCAGGGGACCAAGGGAGAGTGGAGGTGTTCGGATGAGGAAAGGAGAGTTGGACAGCGGGAGTTGTGGTGATGATCAGAAGGGGGAAGAAGTCAAGGAGCGAAAGCTTGAGATGAGTGCCGACGGACGTGGAACTTGGGCAAGGCGAGACAAAGGCACAATGCAAGACACAACGGCGAGCCAAGGGGGGTCGTGTAACGCGAGGGAAGGGGAAACACCTCTAGTCTCTGCTCTTTAGTCCGTACACATGGAATTGACACAAGGCAATGATCAAGGGGAAAGTTTGTTGGCTCGGCCCCGCGATGCAGCGGATTGACGAGTTGGTGCTGGGGCGCTGCCTGTGCCGTTGGCCGTCTATTGCTGCTCGCAGCCTGTCATGTTTTAATTAAGCTCATAGGCCAGGGGAAGCATAAAACTTGGCTCCATCTCCTGCATTGGTGCCGTCAGCCATGGTGCATTCAGAGGTACATGACACAAGTACACCGCTTAGGTCATCATCTTAGCTAATCAGAAGAAGCAAGGTTGCACAAAACGGCACACGGCATGTCTTGTCCACTTTCTGCATAACCGATTTTGTGTAACCAAGGGATCGCTGGAAAAGCGAAAGGCGCCCGCTAAGCTCTCTAGTTGCCTCATCTCCCCCACGCTCCCTTGCATCACCCACGGCTTCTCGCCCATCAACACCATCATCAACCACGATGTGATGCTTCATCGCTCGGTATCCGCATTCCAATAACATTTCATCATCACCGGAATGCGGGAGAAAATCAACTCCCTTGGCTGCCACCAAAATTCGACCCGGTTCTCGGATCCACGACAGACATCCAACGCGTGCTGTGTAACTCCAGGGGAAACCCAGGGGAAACCCAATGCCGACGACGCTTTCGATTGCTTTTGCACTACAGCCCATCTTCTCTTTGTCAAACTGGTCTTGTTCGCAATATCGTTCTGGGTCTGTGGGCTGTCGTCGCGTGGTACTTGTCCACCGCGCTGGAGACCGTCCACGAGTAGATGGGCGAGTAATGAGGCTCAATCCATGTCCATCGTCAGACTAGCGGAACGTCAGTCAAGACATCTCGGGCCACCGCCCAAATGTGTTCAGAACACAACACCAAATCATCACAAAGCGCGCCTGCCATCCTCCAAGCCCAATCTTCCACGCTGGTCTGTGACTCGCCGCCTCTCTTTCTTTTGCTCTCCAGCTGCAAGCCCACATCTGCTCACAGCGAGCTTTCCAAAGACCTCGGACAGGGTTGTCGTCCCTACGAATGGGTACTCGCTCCCCGAGGATCCCGTACCGTCCCGCTTGCAACCACAGGGCTCGGTCCATGGACCACAGGCAATGGTCCACAAACCATACCCGGACGACTGGAAGGCTAGGCGTGCTAGGGCAGATCAAGGGATCTTTGACAAGTGTCGACTGTCGTTATCTTTGCGCCAAGCTGGCATGGCCGCCCCCTGCATCGGCTTTGGATGAGGACATTTACACTGCAGCGGCGCGGCCTCCCTGCCGGAAGTATGCGTGCGAATAGCATCTGCGTGCCAGTGCCGCCCCGAGATGCTCATCCCAACACCGATCCAGGGTCTGATGCACGTCAACCTCCCTTTAGCCGTCCGCTCGTCCCGTCTACATATGGATACTGTCGTGATAGTCTCGTGCCATCGCGAGTCTACACGTTCCTGCGGCTGTCTGTTGGGCTGCCTGTTGGCCCAACTTGGCGTCAATCGCGGCATCGCCTTGTCCGCCACAGGCACTGCGTTCGGCGATTGCATTCCCGCTATCACGTTCTCGAATGGCATGGCCCAAAGGGTTCCAACACAGCAAATAACGCCCACCCCTGTCCATCAAAGGGGGCCTCAGCTCGGCGGGCTTAGAAATGTACAAGCATGACGGACGACGCCTTCTAGCGGAGGCGAGACACTTATAGGATTGGCCTCTGAAATGTTCGAGACCGACGACTCAGTCTGAACTTTGAGAGAGCTCAGGCCAGCCGCCAACCGGACTTTGTGTCCCTCGCAGAGTTCAACAAGTTCAGCTTGTACCCCTCACCTCGCTCATTTTCTATTTCACTGCTCGCAAGATTTGGCCGATAGTTTGCCGTTCCCCATCTTCTCTTCTCTGTGGTCTTGTTCATCTTGCAGCTCAAGGTTTGAGCGGTTTCTCTCGGGGCATCCTTTCCTTTCATCTTCTTCCCGTCACTTGTGCTTATACCCCAGCCAACATGATGAACAAACCAACATCAGGTCACCAGATCAAGTATCTGGCCGTGGTTGCGTCCCTCGTTTTCATCTGGCTCGTTTGGCGTCTCGATCTTCACTCAGAGGTGGCCGAGCATGCCCGCAAGATCGCACACCCAAACAGCACCCCCTACGATGGCCTCGCCAAAGCCGGCAACAGCGAGGTCCTCCCTCCCGCAAAGGCCGTCGAGTACTGTGACCACTTCCGCCTGAAGCCGGCCAACACGGAGCTGGTCCGCAAGCGCAAGGTGTACGACCTGCTCCTCATCAACACCGAGGTCGAGATGCTGGAGGTCCGCCTCGGCCAGATGGCTCCCTACGTCGACTACTTTGTCATTCTCGAGTCGTCCCTGACCTTCACCGACAACCAGAAGCCGCTGTACATTAAGGAGAACTGGGACCTCTTCAAGCCGTGGCACCACAAGATGATCCTCCGCGAGATGGACCTCGAGGCCCTCAAGGAGAGCAGCACCTGGGACCGCGAGGCCAAGAGCCGCAACGCCATGTACGAGCAGGTCATCCCCACGCTCGAGGGCGAGCAGCAGGCTTCCATTGACGATATCCTCATCGTCTCCGACGTGGACGAGATCCCCAAGCCAGAGGTCCTCCGCGCCCTGCGCAACTGCGAGATCCCGCCCCGCGTCTCCATCCACTCCAAAATCTACTACTACTCCTACCAGTGGCTCTCCCGCAACGACTGGAACCACCCCCAGGCCACCGTCTACCGCGGCGTCGACACCGTTCTCCCCCACGACCTCCGCCACAACGCAAACGACCACCACTTCAACCAGGGCGGCTGGCACTGCAGCTACTGCTTCAGTACCGTCGAGGAGATGGCCCAGAAGATCAACTCCTTCTCCCACGCCGAGCTCAACAAGCCCGAGTTCAAGGACCCCGACTGGATTGTTTCCGTGGCCCGCCGCGGTCACGACATGTAAGTCTGTGTGCTGACTTTGGATGACTACGACTAACACTACACAGCTTCGGCCGAGGCGAGTCCAACTTTGACCGCATCGAGGAGAACCACGACGTGCCAGACTACGTCAAGAAGAACTCGGACAAGTTCAAGTACCTGCTGGACCGCGATCCGCTCAATGCCAACTTTAGGGACTACACTCCCAAGGCCACCTCAACGCCGGCGGCTTAGGTGCTGTGTGGCTGGGTTGTGCAGGACTTGGACTACAGGCGTTTGGGGCGTTGGATACCTGTGTTCCGTGGGAGGGACCAACAGAGACATTTTTCTTTCCGTCTTTTCTTCTTTTGTACTATTAATTCCGCGGCATTCCAATCTATTCGGCCGCCCACCTTCATCAAACTATGAAGCTATTTGACACCTGCCATGAAGGATATAGTATGCGTGGCGCCATCCTCGGTTTGGCCCCTCTGCGCGGCATGCCAAGTGCCCCAAGTGAGAATAGTAGAGCTGCGCGCACAGCGGGCTGCATAGCAAGATTGCGTGTCCACCGGCAACTTTGAGAGGAACCGGAGCACTCCGTAGAACAGAGTTCAGATGGGGACGTTTGCGACTTGCACGAAGCCAGAATAGAGTTTCCCCAGACGGAACCGCCGGGACCTTTTCTGAGACGTGGTTTGCCCTCACAGATCTCTGCAATCTGAACAGGGCCGCCCACCGGCACACACTATTGGGTGTCAAACGGGGCCAACGGTGTATGATGGCAAGGTTGGACCCTGGACGTTGTTCATTGTGATGCGTGGCAGCGTGAGCTATTCAGGGAAGAGGGTGCTTGCTATAGTGTATTTGGGAAACCTTAAAGTGAGAGCCCAAGGGACCAGGAATGATTACCACGCCGAACCGATTTGGAAGCTGGGTCAGCTTATCAGAGTTTTGTACTCTCCATCTTGGGGTGTAGAGTCGCAGAGTAGCGTAGAGGGAGGCCATAATGAGCTGGAGAGAGCTATAAACCTACGATTTTCGAAACAGCCGCGGACGAAAGTGGCACGTTTGGAAGTGCCAGAACGGGTTCTCTCACCCTTTGTCAGGCCTTGAAAGTTGAAGATGGGCGGCGCCTCATCCTATCACACCGTGTAGGTTTGCCGACGGGGTTTATTGGAAATGGGGTGTCAATTTGCGGTAAGAAAGTTTGAAGCACTACCCACGCAGTACGCCTCGCAGGTGTAGACGATGGGGCTTGGTCTTTCGCGAAAGCGAATAGGAAAAAGTTCTGCCCGAATCTCGTTGTGGGCTGATGAGCAGACTGTGCGTAAGAATCTTCGAGTCATGCTAGTGGGCTCGCTGTCGTCCGAACACCTCGTCTTCTTCTCAACTAGAATCTGGCATCTTGGGAATCTGGGAAATTCCAAGGGATGATTGTGCTCGTTGCCTTGTCTGAGGAAACGTAGTCTGGAAGGGGGGCAATGGGGGGGAGGAGGAAGACGGCATTCGTGTCCACCATCTCTGGCCTCCGACCTACTGTGGAAGCCTTGGCTTCGGCGTGAGCTCTGTATCAGTAGGCAGGATGGTGCAGGGTTCTAGGTCTCTCGGATACGCCGCCCGTCGCGTTTCCGTCCCCGTGAGTCCATGACAGCTACACGCCGCGTCGACGGTCTGAACATGAGTATCCCTGTCGCTCCGGGTTTCCGGTCGCTTGTCCGAAACCGCAGCCGCTTTTGTGGGGATTCATTCGGCGCCGTGTTTACACGGAGAGTTGTGGATAGGCGGCGGTCGCATCGGAGAGAGCAGAGCATGTCCGGCCGAGTCTTCATCAACGCGGCCAGTGGCAACCTTTCATAGCAAAGTTAAGCATCACTCTGAAATGCGTATCCCGCGAGCTATCACTGTGCGATTGATGCTACTGATGCTATTGACGCCTTCGCCCCTGCCCTATGCCATAAGGTAGTGAGCCATGTATTGATGTTCCATAACCTCTATTCACGCGAGACGACCCGATGCCGTACCCTCCCTATTTTTCACAGTCCCACCCCATTAACCCCCCTTGGCCAAACGAACCAAACCCGCCGGGCGCAGAGGCAACTAGCGACTCCTACTCCTTCGGCGGCTCCGGCTCCGATCTCGATCCCGTCTATCCCTCCGCGACGAGACGCTGCGGTCTCTCCGGCTGCGGCGGTCACGGTCACGGTCACGATCGCGATCGCGGTCCCTGTCCCTATCCCGATCCCGATCTCTCGACCTGGCCCTCTCCCGGTCCCGTCGATCTCTAGAGCGATCTCTCGACCGATCCCTGTCGCGGTCTCTGTCTCTCCGGTCTCGGTCCCTGTCCCTATCACGATCGCGATCTCTGTCCCTGGCGCGGTCCCTGTCCTTGTCCCGCTCGCGATCCTTGCTGCGCGAGCGACTCCGACGCCGCTCGTCATCCCGTGCCAGGTCGTGAGGCCGCTCTCGGTCTCGGCCGGGGGGCACGTACCGATCAATCTCTTCCAGGTCGCGCCTGCGTTTCGCTTCGGGCGAGCGATCCCCCGTGCTTCTCTTATCGTCGATCCCGGGGACGGGCATGCCCTTCTCTCGAGCCTCACGCTGCGCGGCAAGATACGCCTTGGCTTCCTTTTCGCGCTTGCGGACCTCCACCATCTTGGTGGCCTCCTTTTCGTCCTTGTCGCGTTCCAGCCGGGGAGTCGAGCGCACCACGGGAGAAAGGTGTCTCGAGCGAGACCGACTCTTTCGATCGCGTTCAGAGGGCTTTCGGTCAGAAGAACGATCTCGGCGGGGGCGAGAGCGGCTGCGGTCACGGCGGATCGACTCGCGCCGGTCAGGTCGTGGAGACCTGCTTCGGCGGGTCCTGGAGCGGGAACGCGACTTGTCTCGGCGGTCGGTCCTCACACGAGAACGGCTGCGGTCTCTGCGATCATTGCGAGCCCTTGACCGGCTCCTCTCGCGGCGGCGTGAGCGACTGCGGTCTCGCCTGTCGGAGCGAACACGGTCTCTCCGGTCGCGAGACCTAGAACGACTCCTGTCACGGCGGTCGTGGCGTGTGCGGGATCTGCTTCGGTCACGGCGAGTTTTGGATCGAGTGCGCGAATGGGTCCTCTCCCGCCTTTCGGGCCGACGAGACCTGCTGCGATCGCGTCGGGTTCTGGACCGCGACCTGTCACGTCTATCGCGGGATCGATCACGCGGTCGGGGAGACCTAGACCGGCGATCACGTCTGCGGCGGTCGTCGTCGTCTCGCGTACGCCGTCTATCGTCATCGCCCTCCTTGTCCTTCTCGCGGTCCTTGCCAGTCGCCTGTGACCGGCTGCGGCTTCTAGCCTTGACAACTGGTGCATCGGCTTTTGGTGTCGCGGCAACGCTGGCATCCCGTGCTTCCTTCTTCACCTCTACCGCCTTCTTTGGCTCTG